ATATGTTTGAAAAAAAAAAAAGTTACCGAAGCATCTTGGAGATTTATTCCAACTAGTATTCGACCTGTGCATTTGCACAGATATAAATAAATTATTGTGAGTCTTTATGTATATAATGATTAATTATTTTTCTTTCATCTTTTTGCAGATCAAATTTATAATTAAAAGAGTTTGAATATTTTTTTTTAAATTACGTTAATTTGATTGGATGTAATGTATATTTTGGTACGTCTTTTATCTGTGAATTATTTATTATTTATTTAGAAATTATAAATATATTTTTTATTTTCAAAAAAAAATAAAATTAAATGTAACAACAATAATAACATCTAATCACATTATACGGTCAACACATTATATGGTCAACTGTCATTAATAAAAAATTTAAAAATGATTTTTGTAATGTTGAAGTGATGAGTATTAATTATTTAATGATTAAATGAAAGATTAAATACATCAAAATGTAACGGTTTTTGGAGGGAAAAATGTTAAATTGCCACATAGGTAAAATTAAATAGGTTTTATTAAATGTTTTGAGCTAGTAATTATATATATATAGATTACTAATTACAATAACCAACAGTGAAATTATAAATTTTCGCTTTAGGGCACCCGCATCGGCCATTTGTTTTGGCCGTTTAAACGGGAGGGGTCCTTTTAACATGGATGTAATGCATCCATTAATAGCGGACCCCAATTGGCCGTTCATGAGCTGCATTCAATCAGTTTATTTATTTATTTTTTTGTTTTAAATCAATTAATTATTCAATCTATTTTCATTTTTTTTTAATATTTAATTCAACTTTTATTTATATTACACTTTCCAATATTAATAAATTCAAAATTTATCTATATCACACTTTTCAAAATATATTAATAATTATTTTTTTTTCTACTATTTTTATGCCTATAAATACACCACGGTTTTATAATTTTTTTGCACTAAAATTTAGCAACTGCTCATTTGCTTAAAAAATTGGATTCGAGTGGTAGGGAAAATTTAGCATGTTTGTTTATAAAAAATTTTGGTTTTGTTTGAATTTTTTTTATTTGGTTTGGTTAATTTTTAAAAAGCTGACGTGGTTAGTTGTTAGTGGATATATTAAAATAATATTTAAAATAAAATAATTAAATTTGATTTGAAGTAAAAGTAGGAGAGAGAGATTTGAAGTGATGGTTAGTTAAAATAATGTGAGTAGATGAATAGTGAATTAAAGTTGATTTGGTGTGTATGAATGATTGATTGATATTATGTAATTATATTGATAATTTTGATGATAGTTGTGTCGAGTTAAAGTTGAGTTAAAAAATGTGGTTGAGTTAAAATATTAGAATTTTTTTGAAAAATTCCATAAACAATTACATTTTGTTTTTGTTTTTTATGTTCTACTATTTTTCATTTTTAATCTTAATTTATGTTTTTTTTATCTAATAATGTTACTTTTATGTTCAGCATTTAAAATTAAGTATTCTAATTAAAAAAATACCTTTATTTTTATTAAAAATAGAATATAAAAATAGTATTGAATGAATGAGTAACGGGTCTTCTATGTTCGTATATAAATGAATAAACTAATGTGGGTGTGTTTAAATGGAGATACGTTTAGTAGAAACTAGAAAGATGATGTGAACATGATGTGGATGAGAGAGAGTGTAAATTGTGATTGAATGAACGTAGATGTCCTTATGGATGTGTTTTTTTTTTTTTTTCTCAAACGGATAAATTTTATTTCAATAACATAGCAATGTACAATAACAATCAACTGATTGGTAGCATCACAGACCCTCCTCCACAGATAAGTCTATGAACCAGGGGAATACTGGACATCCAACTTCCCTAACTAACCCCAAAACAACCACAACAACACTATGCTAAAACTAACACTGGAGAGCCCATATACAAAAACAAAATTCAGATACAAAACAACACATAGAAAAGCCTAACCTTAACTAATTACACGCCGGCATAGTAGGACCTCAAACCTGAAAATCCTTCCAGCCGGTCCAAACAGGAGAAATAGTAGCTTCAGCACTGGCCACATATGTTGCCCTACCTTTGCTTTCTTCCTCCTTTCAGCCTCTTTCTAACCCTCTGATCCCTCAATCTTTCCATTAACTTCTGCATACTCTGCCCACTCCCTTTTGGCTCCATCTGCTACTTGTTTTTCAGACACCCACACTTTTTGAAATATCCAGTTATTCCTAGTACACCAGAGCCACCATAATAAATATGTTGTCAACTCGATTCTCTCCTTCCTGCACTTTCCTCTATCCACTGACATCAAAGCAACCCACCATTTCCTAAAGTCATCCTCTTTATCCTTCAGTCCCTCCCAACTAATGCCAGAAAGTTCCCAAATCCTCTTAGCTCTTTTGCAATGAAACAATATATGTTCTAATGTTTCCACTTCTTCCCCACATTGTTGACAGATTAGATCTATTTCCATACCTTTCTTCACTAGTTGCTCTTTCACTCCCAAGAACCTATGCCAACATTTCCACACAAACATTTTTATTTTATTTTTTACTTGCAAAGCCCAAGTTTTCCTCCATGTCTTCTTAAGCACCACATCATTGTCACTAGTCTCTGGCACATCCTTTGCAGCCACTATCCTGTTCACCAGAAAATTATAAACATGTTTAATTGAGAATTGACCCTTTGGGCAGACATGCCAGACCATTTGATCCTTTTTTCCTTGTGTTGGAGCTCTGAGCTTCAGTATTTCCTCAGCTTCAAATGGTAAAAAAGTTTGCTTTATAAGTTCTTCATCCCAGCCACCATCATCCCTTCTACTTAAATCACTGACTTTCCTCAACCTGTGTCTGCCACCTTCATAACAGCAGAAAGGTTTGATCAAAGGAAATTTAATAATCCAATTAGCATTCCATATATCAATATTCCTGCCATCCCCAATTCTGTACCCCATCCCCAATTGCAAAACATACCTACACTTCAGCCAAGATTTCCAAAGCCAGGAATCTGAATTTTTAGAGACAACTTCAAAAAGGTTTTGATTATGGAAATATTTACCCTTTATCACCCTGCTCATCAATAGATTGGGTTGAGAAATCACTCTCCAAAGCTGTTTGGCAATTAAAGCATCATTAAAACAAGAAAAATTCCTAAAACCCAACCCCCCTCTTTCCTTTGGTAATGCTAGTTTCTCCCACCCAGCCCAGTGTATTCTTTTCTTACCCTCTTCAGTACGTCCCCACCAAAAATCAGCAATTTCTTTACAAATGGAGTTACAAATCCCTACTGGTAATTTAAAGCATGACATAATATATACAGGTAAAGCTCCCAAAACATATTTGATCAAAATGTCCCTCCCTGCATCACTCAAAAATCTATTTCTCCAGTTTGATACCCTAGATCTCACACACTCTGACACAAATTTGAAAGTATCCAATTTTGATCTCCCAATACCTAATGGCATACCTAGGTATTTAGAAGATGTCACCACTTGGACCCCTCCAAATAGTTGGCAAATGTAATCCCTGGATTCCACAGAAGTGTTTTTGGAAAAAAGTATAGAGGATTTAGAGAGATTGATCACCTGACCTGAAGCTTTGCCATATGAGCTCAAAATAGAGAATAACACATCAGCATTATGCTTGTTAGATTTACAAAATACAATAGAATCATCGGCAAAAAGCAGATGAGATATAGCTGGAGCATGGGTTCCTATTCTAATGCCACTGAAATTCGATTTTTTAGAAGCTTGGTCAAGGGAAAAAGATAGGGCTTCTGTGATGATCAAAAACATGTAGGGAGATAAAGGATCTCCCTGTCTTAGACCTCTGGAAGGTCTCACAAAACCCTTAGGTTGACCATTAATATTAAAGGAGTAAGAGGAAAACTTTAAGCAATTAAAGATCCAACAAATGAAGGTTCTGCAAAACCCTAATTTCTCCAAAATAAGAATGAGAAAATTCCATTCTACCCGGTCATAGGCTTTGGACATATCTAGTTTCAAGGCCATGAAAGCATTTTTCCCTTTTTTCTTGCTATTCAAAAAATGAACACATTCATTGGCTAGGATTATATTATCTGTGATCTGTCTACCAGGGACAAAGGCTGCTTGGTTTTGAGAGATACAAAAGGGAAGGACTTCCTTTAGTCTATTAGCCACAATTTTAGACAAAGTCTTATATATCACAGTACACAGGCTAATAGGCCTAAAGTCAGTCACTTTAAGTGGATTCTGGATTTTGGGAATCAAGGAAATTACTGTGTGGTTAATTTTCTGAGGGATATAACCTTTTTGGAAAAAATTAATAATAGCTGCACAAAAATCAGATTTAATAATAGACCAACAAGATTGAAAGAACAGAGGGGTCATACCATCTATTCCGGGGGCTTTGCTAGGATGCATCTCCATAAGTGCATTCTTTATCTCTTCTTCCTCTATAGCTTTTGTCAAAGATTGATTCATCTGATCAGTGATGACCCTCTGAAATCCTTCAAGATTGAACTCTTCCACTTTATGCTCTGAAGATGTGAAGATTTGTTGAAATGAGTCCACTATTTCAGCCAGAATTTATGTTTCATTTTCACATCTTGTCCCATCACTCCTAATCAGCAGCTCAATACTATTCTTTCTCCTCTGATTTTTAACACAAGCATGAAAGTATCTTGTGTTTCTGTCCCCTTGTTTGAGCCAATTAACCCTTGACTTCTGTCTCCAGTACACTTCCTCCTCTTCATAAGCTTGGTGAAGCTTCCTCTTGATTTCCACCCATTTTTCCCATTCCTTTTTGCTTCCTTGATTCAACATTACAGCAAGTTGAGAGTTATAGCTTTCAATGAGTATAGCTGAATTGGAAACATGAGTAGCTTTCCAACCCAATAGTGCCATCCTAGTGTTTCTAATTTTGCTTTGGATTCTATACAGTGGAGGACCTAAGGCATCTTTACTCCAAGCTTTGCTTACTGTCTCTGTGAACCCTTCCTTTCCTGGCCACCTTGCATCAAAATAAAATCTTTTTTTCCAAAAGCTTTTGCCTTGAGAGGTGTCCATTAATAACAGACAGTGGTCAGAAGATATTCTGGGAATATGAGATACAGTGGAATGGGGAAAAGCTAAAAGCCACTCATCAGAAAATAGAAATCTGTCAAGTCTCTCTTCTACAAAACCCTCCCCACTCCTATTATTAGACCAAGTATAAGGATATCCTTTGAAGCCTATATCCTGAACTCTCATATCCCTAATAAACTCTCTGAAAATCTTAAAACTGCCCTCATTCCTCATCCTACCCCCTCTCTTCTCCTCATTGGATACCAGGTCATTAAAATCCCCCCCCAAAAACCAGTAATCTCCCCACTTCAAACTATGTCTTCTAATAGACTGCCACTGAGCTTCTCTCTCTACACTACTAGTACTAGCATAAATAAACACAGCCCAAAGTTTATTACTATTCTTAGGAACCATAAAACATACTTCTAGACCAAAACAAGTGGGATTAATATCCAAAATATTAACCACATCAGACCAACACAAAAACAGACCCCCCTTAAGACCTATAGGATCCACTACATACCATCTATCACTCACCTTAAGATTTTTGCAAACAGTTTTGATAAAGCTCTTCTTTTTTTTGGTTTCAGATAAAAAGACAATATCAGGAAGGTGGAATCTCAAAGATTCCTTCAGCTGGGGAATTGTAGAGGGCCCTCCCAGACCTCTACAATTCCACACCATGACCTTCATTTTAAACTTGGGGACCATTTATGGCTGGTCACCTCCACCATTGGAGACTCTGACTCTCTAGTACTACCCTCAGCATTTGACATTTTTTGTTTTTTAGAAAAGTTTTGATCCTCATCATCATCTGCTAACATCATCTCAGTTTTTCTTTTAACCCCTTCAGATTTGACTAAGCTAGAAGACATTCTGGAACTTGCGAGATTTTTAGCTTTCCCAATTTTCCTAACTGTTATTTTAGGAGTTCTATTACTTGGAGCTTGATCTTCCTTAGGTTGAAGATCTTTAAGAATTCTGCTAGTGACTGCTTGAACAGGAACAACCACAAAATTATCTAAATTCATCATATCAGAATTGTTAACCCCTGTATTCCTAACAGATTCTAACTCTGGCTGCAAACCTACCCTATCACTGGGACTCACTTCAGGGTTTCCACCAGTCATCCAACTATGAAGATCATTTTTTGGAATAGCTCCTATTGACTCTGGTTCTCTCTCCCTAACAAGAACTTTCTCCCCCACTCTTTCCCCTTCCTTGATCTGATCACTACCCTCCTCTCTACCCTCCTGAGAGTCCACACCCTTATGTTCTGCCACAAACTTTCCTTCTTGAAAAGTTTTAGCCCCATATGTCCTATTTCCTCCCCCCCTGACACCTAACCCACTCACCTGAGTAGCCCTTAACCAGTCCCCAAATTGCCCACTGTTTAACTTCTTCCCAGCTACATCTTCTTTTTTCAGACTACACGATCTATCAGCATGGCCAATCCTTCCACAATAGTAACAGAAGTTCTGTAAATTTTCATATTTGAAAGAAACCCATTTTGATTCTCCTCCCATTTTGAGATGCGTACCTCTCAGGATCGGTTCATTCAGATTAAGTTCAACCAGTATCTTAACCATTCTTCCTCCTGCTCCACCCATCTCCGGCACCACCACATCTACTACTTTATCAAACAATTTCCCGATCTTCATTCCTACTTCTTCAGTCACCCAATGAAGAGGCAGGTCGTGAATCTGCACCCAAAGTGCTATTTTGTGTTCCTCTTCTGTGTAGCCATTATTCTCCTCACTCCATTCCTTAAGCAAAAGGTACTGACCATCAAACGTCCATGCTTTGCCTTCCAGAACTTTCTTCCTATCCTCTGGTGTTTGGAATATGAATTGGTATTTATTGCTGCCCACCATTCTCGAGAAGAAGGGTTTTTTGGTTAGCCAGATGTTTTGTAGTGTGTTCTTTAGCCCAACAAAACTTGCCTGCTTTTCACCATACAAACTTCCCATTAGGCTGAGAGCACACTCCTTCATTCTGATTCTAATGTCATCTTCCTCAATTTCTATTCCATCCTCCTCTTTGGCCGACAGATTGAAGTTTTTAAAGTCTTCCTCCAGTTCCGATCCCATTATTCTACGCACCTAGTCTCCGCTCCCCAGTGAATCAAAAATTGACAAAAGCCACTCGAAAGAGATAAAGATGCACCTGAGAAGATTACCCAAATAACATGAAAGGGTTAGATAAGAAAGGATTAGAAATGAAAGACTGATAAAATAAAGAAACCCCAACCCTAGAAAACACAGAGCCTATTCCAAAAAGACTGATAAGACCAAAGACGGAAAACAATGATCGATCAAGGCTTAAGATAATTGCGAATACTGATCAGAAGATCGAAGAAAACACAAATTGGAATCTTTAGGGACCACATCCAACTAGGTGGAACTTGGGAACTCAAGCAGGAGACGAGAACTCTAGAAAGAGACTCGATATAGAGAATATCCTTATGGATGTGTTTTTGAAACAAGGGTTTTAGCTAGAATTAGAAATTAGAACTTCAACTACATGTTTGACTAGTTAGATTTCTTTTGACATGTTTATAACAAGAGTTCTAAATTAGTTTTTTAGGTTAAAAAAGCTAATTTAAAAACAAAATAGTTGTGAATATAAGTACATTCCCAATTTTCTCTCTCTAAAAGCGATTGAGTTAAAATCCCTAAAAATCAGTCGTTTCTTCTTCCATTTTCCGTCCAACGCCGCCCCTCCGGCAGAGGCTCGCACCCGCGCGGCTCCGTCTAGCGCCAGGGCGGGACCATGGCTCGCTGGGTGCTGTGTTTGACTAGTTAGATTTCTTTTGACATGTTTATAACAAGAGTTCTAAATTAGTTTCTTAGGTTAAAAAAGCTAATTTAAAAACAAAATAGTTGTGAATATAAGTACATTTCCAATTTTCTCTCTCTAAAAGCGATTGAGTTAAAATCCCTAAAAATCAGTCGTTTCTTCTTCCATTTTCCGTCCAACGCCGCCCCTCCGGCAGAGGCTCGCACCCGCGCGGCTCCGTCTAGCGCCAGGGCGGGACCATGGCTCGCTGGGTGCTCGCGGGTCCCAGTGGATTTCCCCCTGTTTGGCCATAGTCGGACTTGATGTGTCGTTCCGGCTTCACGACGACGATACCGGGGTCGCCGAGGTCGATTGTCGCTCTCGTGGTGATCGTTCCTAAGGTTCGCGCTCCCCTCTTCCTTCTTCTCTTCTTTTCCTGGTGTTGGAGGGTTGAGGTTCTTCGGCGGGGCAGTCCGGGGCTTTGTCCAGCCTCGATTGCGGTCGTTGGGTTGTGTGGGGGAGGGTTTTCGGCGTGGGCCTCCGGGGGTTGGTATGTTTGGGCCATGTGGAGTGTGTTGGTCTTTTGAGCTGGATGTAGTTAGTCGTCGTCTGAAGGGAGGTTCTAGATCCGTATACTGGGCCGAGCTTTGGGCTGGTGGGGAGGATAATATTCTATGTATTAGATGTTAAAGCAAATAAGTGACTGGTGACAGGTCAACAAAATACTAGTAAGTACAAAGCATAGTCTGAGACCAAAATAAACATTGCATATAGTATTTTTTATTTAAATTAACATTCAGCTCAAATAAAATATACAGCAAATAAGTGAGACAGGTCAATAAAATAGTAAAATACTACAAAGCATAGTCTGAGACCAAGATCCAGGAGCCCATCCATCCATCACCATTGTTAACCAAGAACGAGAAGAAAGAAGAAAAAAACAACCATCTCAAGAAAAATAAAGATCAATGGCGGATAAGCCACCGCAGATCGCCATACTTGGTGCCGGCATCTTTGTTCGAAGTACTTACATTCCCCGGCTGGCTGAACTATCCAACCTATTCGTTCTCAGAGCCATTTGGAGCCGCACCCAGGCAAATTATCACATTCCCCCCTCTTTTTTATTTAGCAATTATAGATTGCGCTTGCTTTTTCTTTGTTCGTGGGTTGTATTTCTAGTGGTGTTTCATTTTCCCCTTTGTTTTGTAGTACATAAGAATTTTGGATTTACTCTTGAGCTGCTCATCTCTAAGGATATCCATGGGAGATTTCATTAATTCAAAATTGAGTACACTGTTTTTTTGCTGCTTGCATTTTTTTGTTTTTTGGATTAAGAGGCAAATTTTTTTGACCAGCTGGTGTGTCATGTATAGGAATCAGCCAGAGGTGCTGCTGAGATTGCTAAGAAGTTTTTTCCGGATGTCGAATGTAAGTGGGGAGAGGAAGGACTTGACGAGATTATTCGAGATGCTTCCATTACTGGTGTAATCGTGGCCCTTGCCGGCCAGACTCAGGTAAATATCCTCTCTTTTTCGTTTTGTTCAGCATAATTATGTGTTATGATTTAGAAATTTTGCTGGATAAAGACAATCTGTTCTGGAAAAGTTGTCCGTGAGTTATATTTCCTGAGTTGTGGAGAAATGTTTGCTGTGAAGAGGTAGTTTTGCTAGTTTTAGTTTGCTTTCTCAAGTTTAAGCTTCTGCATGAGTTGAAAAATCATCGATTTTATCTCCTATCGAAAACAATTATTATTATTATTATTATTATTATTTTTTTTTTTTTTTTTTTTTNTGGGGGGAAGGAAATCACTTGGGTATGGGTTCTAATCTGGGTTGACACTGTATATATTTACATTTTACAAATTCTTGCAGACCTGGCATACAGATGATAAGTAAGCATCCTTTGGCTAGGTGACTCACTTCTAGAGGTTAAGGCAGGTTTACAGATGGATATGATGTAAGCAGAGTCGTACTGAACAATCATACTTGTACACTTTGTATAAGGCCTAACTAGATTTCCAACTTCAAGTAATGTACCATGGCTTTAGATCTTTCCTGTTTAATTTTCTTTTATTGATGTGTTTACGGTTTTTAATTGGGTTGGGGTGACATACAGGTTTTATGTGTGGTTTTTCTAGTATATTTCCTTTCAGTTCCTAAAGTAGCTGTAAAAATTCTGGATGCAACCCGATTACAAACATCCAAAACCATGACAAGATTCTATTTCTAACTTTGGATATCCTAGTCAGATTTGTTTTGTACTTTCACTTACTTTTTATGATATAGTTTTTCACTTCAACCATAAATTTCTTGTGGGTTGTGCCCTATTTCACTAGAGAACCATTTTGCTCAGGTTGATATGTCACTGAGGTTGCTGAAGGGTGGAAAACATGTCCTTCAAGGTGATGATTATTAAGTATTAAATGTTCCTTAAAAATTAAATTGCTTTTAAACTAATTGGTTATATGCGGTAACTCACTGTATGTTTTCATGCATATGCTCTGTGCTTCTTCCTGATTTCTGGTCGTGAAGAGAAACCGGCTGTAGCTTGTAAGTAAGACTCTCAGTTCTTTTATATGACATATCACATCTTCAATCTAGAATATAAACATATTAACTCTTTGGGCCAAAAGAAAGTTGATTATTTTGGTTCACCAATTCAGCTGGTGGTGAACTCGAAAAAGCGATTTCGGACTACAACTCTCTCAAGCCTGCACCAATTTGGGCAGTGGCTGAAAACTATCGGTTTGAACCCGCTTTTGTGGAGGTCCATTATCATTGTTGTTGGTTAAAATGATTATGTTTTCTTAGTCTCCCTTTATTGACAACCGGGCTATGCAGGGAAGAAAACTGATGTCTGAAATTGGAGATATTATTAATATACATGTGATTATTGAAGGATCAATGAACAGCTCAAATCCATACTATTCAACTTCATGGAGGCATGCCTTAACTGTGAGTGTTAATTTGCTATTTACCCACTTAACCAGGCATCCCAACACAAGCTTTTTCAACACACCAGCCAACAGTGCCGATTAATTTCAAAGTTTCAATTTAATTTTCTTTCTTTTATCTTTGGACTAAAAGCATTCCTTTTTCGGCAGGGTGGTTTCATTCTAGACATGGGTGTTCATTTCATTTCTGGTTTAAGAATGGTGAGTTTACCAGTTCCTCTACAATTGAGTGGATTTAGTCCTTCGGTTTACACTCACACCAGAAATTAAGCGAAATCCCTCATTTATATAGTGTCCCAATACCTTTATCTCCAGCTGTTATCTATTGATGAAATAAACATGAGTTATTCTTCTGTATTTAAAAAAGTTACATAGACCCACTTAAAACTTAATTATCTCCATAACTGAAGGTCTGCTGCAGATTATAACTTTTAGATTTTGTTGATATTTAGAAAAGAGAAAAATGTCCAGTTCTAGTAACATAAACCTGTATCATGTCCTTCCAGTATAGGCTAAAATCCATTTAATGAATTGAATTGAACCTCTATTCATCACCTGGAACATTTTTGATTTTCTCTTCTTTATGTTTTTATGCATATACGTGTGTGTTAACACACCAATTATTACACCCAGAATCGCGTATGCTTTCTCTCTGATAATATTTTCGTGCATATGGAAAGCTGGCTGGATGTGAAATAACTTCAGTGTCAGCCGTTACGTCTCACGTTGACTCAACTATGCCTCCACCTGATCACATCTCCTCAACAATGTAAGGTTTATGCATTCAAATGATCTAAAGGCAATTTATTGTTTTTTTCTTGCTGCTCAGTCTTTGGCTTTTAATTTCTCTTTTAGTCAACTGGAGAACGGGAGTTCAGGAGTTTTCGTGATGGTGGTATCCTCTAAATCTCCAAAGGTATGGATTTTGTAGTCATTA